CTGTGATCATCAGCAATAACCAGCTGTAACATATCTGTACGTGGAAGAAGACTCATAAAAGGACAATGATGGCTAATAGAACTTCTCTCTTGAAAAACATTCAAAATGCAAACTTTAGGTCATTAATTCTTTAGGATTTTGTTTCATATGGTAATGTGATTCTCTGACTCAAGGTTGTCAAGTGACTTGGGATATGTTTTGGATCAAGGAAGAGAGTTGTGGCCTTTTTTAAAATGAAATGCACCATGAAATTCCACATTTCATTTATTCACAATGCATTTAGAGGACTTTTAACTTTTTGTTCTTCTGTTATAATTATTAATACTATTAAGTTAATTCTAATGCTCTGTTCTGTGTGACATTGGCATGTAAGTTTCTAAGGGCACAGAACTCTTTAGGGTTTTTCAGAGGGAAAATGCATCTAGATACTGGGATAATTTTTAGAGAACTGGAAGTTGCTTTCTACCTGTGAAAAAATTAATATGTTTGGGTATGAAATTTAATCCTAATCTGTGGTGCACAGAATAATTATATGTTTTTAATGACTATTCAAGATTCTAAATCATAATAAACACTCAAAGGCAGATACAGACCACATAATGCATAATTTTGAATGATGCTGTCCCTCTTTTGGAAATATCAATCTCTTGGATTACAGATTAAAACTTTTGCATGTGCTGAGTATTTAATTTTGGCATGCAGGGAGTACTTTCTCAATTGGTTCACTTTTATAGCCCTGATATCTGTCCTGGAGGAAATACCCAATGGTTTTTCATTTTAGTGGTAGGAATCTGATGGTGCTTTCATCATCTCCCCTTTTGGTCAATTACTGTGTCTGAGGCACCAATCAAGGTGGAATCTGAGGTTAGTTCATCTTGACTGAGTGAATATTGTCATACCTTGCACTTTTTACAAGATAGAAAGGTCTATATAAATAACCAGGGAGTGTTCTCTGCCTCTTCAGAAATATAAGGTCAGTACAGAATCTTTGGTGAGGCAGCTCTTTGCTTCTTCCATTGCCTTGTGGTGTCTCCCAAGAGTGGAGTAAAGGAAAGAAGTGGTCTTTTTCTTTCCAGGTAGGTGGAAACTGTTTCCCTAGTGGTGGCTGAATTTCATCTTAGATGACCCAGGGTAGAAAGGGACCAGTTCCATCTCTCAGATGATCGATTATGTAGAATTTGTGCGACTTTGTTTAAGGTCATTCAAATCAAGTATTCAGATTCCCACAATCATAGCTGCAAATCACTGGGATAACAGAGAGGCTGGGGGAGATCTGCCAGGAAGCGAAAAACGCAGAGCTGCTCATCAAGGAAGGAAGGAAGGAAGGAAGGAAGGAAGGAAGGAAGGAAGGAAGGAAGGAGGCAGCTGAGGGTAAGAGCAAGGCAGGCAGCAATCGGTGCAGTCCTGTGGTGCACCCACAGTCGCTCACTGAACCAGTACCCAACTACTCCTTTTTTCTCATAAGACATTTTCCTTTTGGCAGTACTTGAGTGCTTTACACTCCAGATCTCAAACTGAGTGTGCTTCTTCGAGAACAGGCCTGCTCTCTGCAGCATGGTGCTAGAAGTCATTGGAAGTATGTCTAAGGAAGGACTTTTTGGAGGTTTTAATTGGGCAAAAATGAGAAACATGATGACACAAAGTGACAAAAAATTCTCAGGATATTGCTAGTCTGAGACGTTCTAGCAATGGTAAAGTTAACTATGCTGGCACTGATACTGTAGTCTTTTGAGAAGCTACAGCTCTGTGTATTTCCACATTACAAAGCCCAGCAATATTCAGTTAGTATTAGACACAATTCTCTCTTGATGAATTATGTCATAGACATGGAATAGCAAGCTGAACATAATATGGTTTCCAGGGAAACATCCTTATTAACTGAATTTCCTGATCAAGTGCATCCTGATTTAATAAAAATATATTGATTGTTGTGACATAATCAGGAAAGATAACTATGGAGTAGAAAAACTTTGACACAGATTACTGAAATTTAGACAACATGAAACAGCTTTATATAACTTCTGATTTCTAAATAGTAGCTTCAATTTAATTTTTTTTATTCATAACTTCTAGTCTTTAGGAGATTCAGAAATACAGTGTTTATCACAACTTAGCCCATGTTCTAAAAAATTTAATAGAAGGAATGATTAATTTTTTTTTAAGGGACATGAACAAATGTTTCTGTCCAATTTTAAATTTTTATTTGAATTTTTTTCTGCTGTTTTTTTTTTCCATTTTCTATTCATTTTTAAGGTGAATTTCTAACCTGAAAGAAAAAGAGATTCGGCTTTTGTTTGTGGTTGGTGAATTAAGTCTCAGAATTGAGTCTCAGAATTTTGGGACAGAACAGTGTTCACAGATTATTTCTTCTTCATTTGAAACACCTGGAAACTCAGTTGAGAGATTTTAAAGATAAACATTTGCTTTAAGAGCCTAAGCATTTCTGGGTAAAGCAGTAATGGTCTAAAAAGAAATCACTGATATTATTGTTGGACTTTGATCCTGACTGATATAATAGGCTTGCCATTAAAAACCTGTGTCATCAATTTCATTAATTCCATTAAGCATTAGAAAGTCTATGTAACTTAATATTACCTCAAATTTGTGCAGAGAAAACTGGTAATTTGATTTCTTAACTCTCTTGTGCCTGTATTCTATTTAGTTAATGTTGACAGGGTACTCTGTTTGGCTTTGTAGTCCTAAATGTGTATGAAATCATTTTGCAGTCATCCTACCTAAAATCTGGACATGATTTGTCTTCCGATCTTTGATTTTCTAGTCTACTGAGCAGTGTGCTGAACACTGTAAAGGAAAAGAAAAATCACAAAAGAATATACCAAAAATCTTAAGATTATGAGATAAAAAATAACCTAGTGTTATGAAATACGCCTATCACGCCTGTTTATAAACATACTTTTAATATTCTTATTTAGTAATATTAATTGAATAATAACCAGAACAGGCACACACAAATACACAAAAACCTTTGTCATAGAATCATAGAGTGGTTTGTGTTGTCAGGACCCTTGCAGATCGTCTTGTTCCAGCCTCCCTACCAAGGGCAGGTGCACCTTCCACTAGATCAGGTAGCTCAAAGCCCCATTCTGCCTGGCCTTGAACACCTCTGTGGGGACCCTAAGAGGCATCCCCTGAGTTAGAGGACACAAGCCATTTCCTCCCAACTCCTGCATTTTTGCACCTCCAGGGGTGTGGCATCCACAATTTCTCTGGACAACCACTTCCAGTGCCTCACCACCCTCAGAGAAAAAAAATTTCTCCTTATATCTAATTTAAAGCTACTCTTCTAATTTGAAACCATTTTCCCTAGTCCTGTCACTGCATGCTCTTGTAAATAGTCTATCTTCATTTTTCCTGTAAATTCACTTGAGGTACTGGAAGGCTGCAATTAAGTCACTCCAAAGCCTTCTCTTTTCCAGGCTGAACAATCCCAATTCTCTCAGTCTTTCCTCATAGGAGAGCTGTTCCATTCCTCAAAACATCTTGGTGGCTCTCTCCTGGACTTACTTCAACAGGTCCATGTCCTCCTTGTGCTGGGACCCCAGAGCTGATGCAGCCCTGCAGGTGGGGTCAGAGCAGAGCAGAGGGGCAGAATCCCCTCCCTGTCCCTGCTGCCCACGCTGCTCTGGATGCAGCCCAGGACATGTTTGGCTCTCTGGGCTGTGAGTGCCCATGGCTGGGTCATGTCCAGCCTCTCACCCCCCAGCACCCCCAAGCCCTTCTCAGCAGGGCTGGTCTTGAGCTGTTCATCCCCCAGCCAGTGTTGATACTGGAGTCTGTAACATCTATCTATTGCCTTTCTTTCAACCATCAATTCATTTCATGACTAATGCCTGCAATCAGAAGCAGACACCAGTTGTCTACATGTGCCAGCTGTTAATATTTCAGATGTTACAGAAAACGTGTTATCTGCCAAAATCTGACAGATTGACAAAGGACATTCAAGCTTCTTCTGCAGCCATTGAAGTCCAGATGAAATAGCGGAGAGCTCTTAAAAGGAATCTAGCTTCCTCTCTTTAGGCAACTGCAAAACAATTTGCATATGATTGCATATATATGTCTGTGGGAAGACATCCTTAGACTCCAGGAATGAGATTCTTCTGCTTGCTAGCCTTTAGCTGCTTCTCTGACTATTATTTGGTCTCCCAGATAATGTTCTATGATATCTAGGAATTTACTGCACTGTACACATATGCCGTTATACGCAATTAAATCCTGCACTAATTTGGATGTCTTAGGTCGTCTGGTATACCCATATGAGTCTGGCAGATATGGCACAAAATCTGCATGAGCATTGCACTCTTCTGGCCTGATATCAATGAGATCACAGAATCAGAGCACCATTCAGGTGGGAGCAGGCCTCAGGAGTGCTCAGTCCAGCTCCTGCTCAGAGCTAGGTCAATTGTGAGGTTAACCCAGGTTGTGTAATTCAACAAGATCTTGAAAACTTACATGGTCATTTACAAAGTCTCAAAAGATGGTAGATACATGTATCTACCAGCAAGTCCATCAAATGCAACATTTACAACTTGCAGCCTCCTTCTTTGGAATCACAATAGAATATTCTTTTACCTGTATGAACTGAGCATTGCTGGTTTTCAGGTGGGAACATTGTTTTTGTTTGGTTTTAAAAATAAGGGATGCTCCTGCAAAGAGATGTCTTCTGGGTTCTTTCAGTGTTGTGCTGGAAACCATTAAAAATAAGTCAACCTACAAGATAATATTTAGTTTTTTTCAAAGCCTTCAGTAAAAGATTGGTAAGATTGTAGTCTTAAGGGCTGGTGAAACACTAGCCTTAAAATCCTTAAAAAATCAACTACCTACTTTTCTCTCTGTGTTCCAAGAAAAAAAAACCCTGCAAAACTGTGTGTTCTCGAATGAAGAAATAGACTTGTGACATCCATTTGTGTTTGTCTCTCATTGCATATTATTGCTTTTCTAGGAATTTCTAGGATGTTTTGTTCACTTATTTTCATTCACAGATATTGGCTGACCTTGAAAATCATGCACTTTTTAAGGATGACCTAGAATGTCAGAAGCTTATTCTGGAAGCCATGAAATATCATCTTTTACCAGAAAGAAGAACTCTCATGCAAAGTCCAAGAACTAAGCCTAGAAAATCTACAGTTGGAACACTTTATGCTGTTGGAGGAATGGATAACAACAAAGGTATTATTGGGTGTTTGTTGTTTATGATTTATAATTCATATTTTCTTTGTCAGAAAATGGTAATATAACTTTCTATTCCAAGATTGGTGGGGAATGTCTAAATCAGTCAAGAAATATTGCCAAGATTTTGCTACTACTGATATTTAAGGAAAAGCATGATACATTTAGAGAAAAGAAACTGAGTTTTGAGTTCATTCTTTGTTCAAAATTATTATAATTTTCAGAAAGAAATTTAACAAAAAAAAAGTAGAATGGTAGTAATATGCCTTAGCTATAGATTTCTAGAATTTGTTTTTCCTTCATAAGTCAAATAATTCTCTCAGTTTTTTTAACCTTTGATAAAAGGCAGTTTGATATGCAGTGTATTTGATCCCTGAGTAAATGTCTGGGATAGTAATGATGATTCATGGGTCTTCAATGCAGAAATTTTTAAGTCTTCTAGAGAACAAAGATAACTATCTTGAACTAGATTGCTAGTTTGTCAACAGATAAAGAAAGGTAAAATTACCCCTATTTTTCTAAGAAGTAGGAAGAAGTGGAAAATTTATTAAAGCATTTTCTTGTTATTTGTTTGGAATAAGAGTTATGATGATAAGTTGTGCTTTCATTTCTGGTAAATTTAATCCACTGATTTCTTGAATGGAGTGGAACAAAATATTTGAACTAAAAGATAGCTACATTAAAACTTTATATACTCAAAAAGGCTTTATATTTTTTTTTTTTGGTGATGTTCACTAACAATTCCACAGCATTCAAAATTTCATGTCCATATTTAGACTGAAGACTATACCTTCAGGAACACTAGTCGTAACAAAAAATAAACTGTTATTTTAAAAATATAGTATAAAATTATATCTTTAGTGTTTCACAACTCTTTGTCTAGGTGCTGTTGCTAAAGCTGTTTCACTAAACAGCTGTGACAATATTGTTTGTAAAATTCCACGACATGTTTTTTTCCCATAAAGTTGTACCAGTGATTAGAATGTATGACATCTGTGCCTGTGTGAAAATAAATGGGTAGCATCAAGAGAAATATGACAAGCAAGTTGAGGCAGCTTCATGCTTTTGAAATGAAGCTGTGCCAGGGGAGGTTTAGATCAGATATCAGGAAAAGATTCTTCACCCAAAGGGTGATTGGGCACTGGAAGAGCCTCCCCAAGGAAGTGGTTACTTCATAAAATCTGTCTGAGTTCAAAAAGTGTTTAAAAATGCCCTCAGGCACATGGTGTGACTCTTGGGGATGTCCTGTGCAGGGCCAGGAGTTGGGCTGGATGGTCCTTGTGGGGCCCTTCCAACTCAGCTTATTCTGTTACTCTGTGACTGTGATTCTGCCTTTCAACCCCACTTTCTTGAGGCCCCTCATGAAGTATTGAATCTATTTCTGGGATTCCATAATGACCCCCATCTGGAGTGAGTCTAGAGCAGGGCCACAAAGTTGATCAGAGTGCTGGAGCACCTCTCCTGTGAAGGCAGACTGGGAGACCTGGGACTGTTCAGCACAGAGCAAAAAGGGCTCCAGGGAGACCTTATGATAGCCCACCTTCCAATACCTAAAGGAGCCAACAAGAGAGCTGGTGACAGCTTTACAAGGGTGTGCAGTCATAGCACAAGGGGTAATGACTTTAAACTGAGGTCGTAGGTTCGGATCAGACATTAGGAAGTAATTGGTTACTGAGGGTGGCGGTGAGATACTGGTGCATGTTACCCAGAGAAGTTGCCCCATGCCTGGAAGTGTTCAAGGCCAGGCCAGATAAGGCTTTGAGCAACTTTGAGTAAAAAGTATCCATATCGTGGCTCAAGGGTAGGAACTAGATGCTCTTTTGTGTTTGCAGGTCCCTTCAATCCCAAACTGTTCAATGATTCTATGAAAATAAGAAATTGTTGATGAAGGAACCAATACATATTTATATATATATATTCTTAAAGTAGCTGCAGATTATTTTTGTCCTTTTAGCAGTTATAAACAATTGTGTAGCTAAATGTTAGCCAGGGATGTGCAGAGAACATTGCCTTTGGATGATAAAATACAAATTTCCTCTTACTTATGACAAATTGCAATAAACGCAAGGATTCAGGTAGGAAATGGCCCAATAATAAATCCAATTTGGGTGCAGCTGTATTTGTTCTCATTTACTATTAATATCTGTTTCTCAATAAAAATACAGAAATATTTAGGATGACAGCATGAGGCAAAGAACCATTACCACATCAAGACAGCCTATTTTGCAGATTCAGGGCAGGCAGAAGCAGTTCATTTCTGTAGCAGCAGGAGAAAACACAGAGCAACAGAGTTCAGCCCTCTGTTGCTGCAATCTCTGACTGAAAACTAGCAGGACTTTTACACATTTTCAGCAGATAAAAACTGCTTTGAGGATGGGCCGGTATGGCAGAGGAGCAGCTGCATAGCAGGAGCCTGTGTTACAGCTGATGCAATATGTATTCCCAGCAACCCCGGCTCTGCAGCTGTGCTGTCTCAGCTTGCATCTGTTCAGCTCATCCCTCTTGTGATCCTGCTGTGTTCTTGGCTAGCTTTTATGCCCAGTGAATCTTGTTTCCACAGGTCCATTCAGGAGACCTGAGTGCTCTTTGCTTGCTTTGAAGAGTCACTGAGTTCATAAAGTGAGCCTGGGCTGGGAGGTGATGCTGATACTGTATTATCTCTCCTAAGGAATTAGCAATTGGTTTTTTCTCCCACAACTTTCTTCACTGAAAGACTGATATGGATGGCTGAAATTCACAATGATGAATTTTTAATACTTCCTGATGTTTGCTACCAAATGTGAAACCGTTGCAAATAATTAGATGAGCTAGACAAATTAGTAATTTATTAACTAGCATATAAAATAGTGGCTAAGTGCAAATATTATGAAAGCATTTGAAGGTTATATGGCTCATCACATAAAATGTAGCCTAGCATGCTAAGTTTGTTTTGAAGTCTCTTCTATAATTATCTTCCTTTCCATAAAAATGAAGTGATAATTAAACTCCAGCAAACAGCAACTGGAATTTTGCCTGATGTGAGAAATTAATGCAGCATAGTACTAAATGGATAGAGAGGAAAGTATCAAAGTTAGATGGATTTGTAATTTTAATTTCCTAGACAAACTAAAAGAATTTAAATATCTTTTTCCACACACCTTTACTTATTTATTAATTTAATTTAAGGGCACATATAAGAAACACACTTTCTCAATATGGCTGCATTAAAGGAATGGGATGCATTAATAGATTGTGGGTATGTATGGGTATGCTGCTGACAATGTTCCATTCACTTTACCCATGAATATCATCACACTGATTTCTCTAATTTGGATTAACCATATTTAATCATGGAATATTATACAGAAGTCCACAAATACAGGAGGATGATTGACTGAAATAAATGAGTAATTGCAAGAAGTGGACATACAGCAATTTTTAGGAATGATTAAGCTCTGACTTCCTGCAGCCATCCTGGAAACCCAAATATAGAGCAGAAGCCAAGTGGCAGAACATGATGTATATGGTCCATGTTAGATGGTGCTATGGATTATGAGCAGGAAAACATGCAGCAAGTGGAGATTCGTGTCAGTAATCAAGCAATGTTGTAATGATGTCAGAATGCTGGTTAATTCCTCCTGAGGTGTTGTAACCTGTCTCACTCTAGGTAGCAGTTAGAATAATAGGGGAAAAGGAGAACTTGCAGAAAAAGTAAATAAAGGTGTTACAGTAACCATTATCCAAAACACTAGTATATATTACTTTTGGAATAGCCCTAGACTAGTTCCTCAAAGTCCTAGATTAGTTATTTGTTACTGAATCCCAGTCTTTAAGAAAATACAAGGGGAAAAGTAATGAAAAGTTGCATGAGCAAGGAACTCTTGCATAAAAATGTAGTAGATCATTTTGAAAAGTGATGGAATAGTCAATTTACTGAGGCACTGATATTATATATTTGTTTTTCATTAATTTTATGGCTAGACATAAAACTTGCTGCCAAAAGTACCCTGGTGGTAAACAGGTAATGTTCATCATTAAGCTGTATCAAGCAATAATAAAAGTTATTTTATTGTTGTATAGATACCTTTTAGAAAGATCTCTTCTATTGCCACAGATATATTAAAAAAATTAACCCTTTGAAACATGAAATTGAGGCCTCCAGTCATTCTTCCTTATACACCCATGTTGCATATTTTTCCTCTTCTTTAATGTATTTTAAATCATTATAATAATCCTCTTTGCTTCACAATTACAGTTTATCAAATGTGGTTTATTACATATAAATATATATATATAATTATTTCACAAGAATGTTATCTAGCATAGCTATATGAAGTTACTCTTGTTCCAGTGAATTTTGGAGATGTCCTTGTTTTTCTGGACTTTTTTAGTTTTGATTTTTCTTTATGTTTTGTTTAATATTGTTTCTAGCAAGAACATTTCTCAAAACAGATTTCATTTAAACTTTATTTTAAATTTATATTTTTTCATTCTCATACAGGCATATTTTTTTAAATGCTGAAAGAAATATTCAAAACCCTATTGTAAATACTGTAAAAAGGGGCAAAAATAGGGAAAGACCATGCTTTTCCTCTTAGGTAGTTCTTCCAGCTTCTTGAGATATGTGTCTGAGTTGTCTGTGACTTGACTCTGCCTTCTTCTTCTTCAGTTTAGTGGGAATTTGTTAAAAAATAGAATTAAAAAAAAAAAAACAACCAAACATTAAAAGAAGAAAATGAAATTTATCAAGATTGTTATATGGCATTTTGCAAGTTGTAAAAATTGTTACAAACCACTTTGTCTTCACATACAAAAAACATTTGACAGCATTTATTATCTATCCATTTGATGCACAAAACTATCTTGAGTAAACATCTTATCTTCATCTTACTTGCATTTTCATTCTAAATATGCAATGCACAGTAATTGTGTTTAATTTTCAGAATGTAAAGTCCCATATTTGTACAATACACAAACAGCAAAATCTACTTATGAAGACTATTTTCCTTTAAAAGAAAGAA